CCACTTGATTTCTCGCTATTTACCTAGATTACTTGGTTTTTTTCAACGGTTGCGCTAATATTTAACGCATGACTGATAGTGACATTGGTTTAAAATCAACTTTTTGCCGCCAAAATCACGATCGTCAGGGCCGTTGGAGAAAAACGACATTTTTTTCAACTACACTACCTAATATAATTTTTCATGACATAACAACAGAAAAAAATAGAATATGCGAACAGTTATAAGTCTATTCACGATTCTGATTGAATTTTATTACATTTCAAATAAGTGTTGTAAAAAATATTAAGTCGTCGCACGATTATCCCCAAAAGATTAGAACCGTTTCAAGATTCAAATAAGCAAAAGAAGATTTGATAGAAAGGTCTAGAATCATAGATCTATAATAAAACATATAGCAGACAACATATCTACTTTCATAAGTATAAAACCAAGTTAAAAACAATCAATCAATTACAACGATGCCACCATTAAACCACCGTAATGAAAATCACAATTACACATTAATAAATAAATCATTAACCATTTAATGTAATTGTAAAAATTTAATCTTTAATTTGAATAATTTAATTGGATTTGTTTAATGGATAAGTAAGGAATTAATTCCGTTACATTATCTTTATCATTGAAACGTAATCAATTCGGAAGCCGGCAATTGAATTTTTGTGAATCTTTTCCTTATTTTTAATTCGTTTTATTGCTTCCTAGATGCTTAGTTCTTTTAGTCTTTTGTTCGGAACTTAATTTATTTCGGGTTTTGTGTTGAAAACCTATTGTGACATTTGGAGTAAAAAATCTAGATTAGATAGAAAAATCTGTGTGAATTAGTTGTTTAAAATTAAAACGTATCATATAACTATGTTTCCAAACCTTAAACTAATGTTAACAAAACAATACAAAATAAAAATTTAAATATCTTGCGATAAAAATGACCTACAATGAAGTTTTTCTCGACAATAAAAACAATAAACTTTTACTTTTATCCACCAAATGACAATATAAATTCATAAATTCACTATTAAAATTTAATCGCTACTGATTTACATAAACAAATTCGAAAACCTGTTTTGCGTTTAGGAAAAGATTTAATTTGTTTAAATCAAGATTTGAGCGCTATTTAATCTACGGTGTGTTCGGTATTTAAGGAATTAATCTGTGCTGTGTCACTCATATGTCATTTTGTTGACATGGATTTTGCAGATACCATCCTATTTCGTAGTAGCGGAGATACACTGCTTATAGTACTTTACTGAATAGATTTTATTTTTCATTAAAATATGATTCATATTAGTGGTAATTAAATTATAAATGTTGCTTATTTTGACGAGATAGAAGTTTACAATATCTTTGACACGAAAATATATTATCACACATCAATCATATTCTTAAAACTGAACCCAAAGAAGGCAAAAATAACAACTAACATAAACAACGGGCCGCCACAAATCTTTTAGACAATTTTTCAAGTAAAAAAATGTCAAAACTGGCAGCCATTTTGAAACCCTAAGCTTTCGCGAAAATTAATCTGCGGGGCAAAAACTATGCCTTATTAAGGGGCAAGTCGGCCCCTAGCTGGGGTCTAATGTCCACAGATAAACAGACAGAATGTATGCTTACAATTAATAATAATTTTGGGGAGGCAAAAAGTCTTGTCCCGCTTTGCCCTTTTTGCGAACCCACAGTTTTTGCGCGAAAACTCGAGGGTTTTAAGAAAATTAGTTTTCATTTTTTACATGTTTTTCAGCTGTTGTTTCTATGCTAAAATATCGCTCAATATTATTTAATACTTGAACGTATCTCAATTATTTTGATTTTTAAAAGTATTGTTATGCATTTTTTGTTGTTCGAATTATGATTTGAACGGAGAAAACCATTATAAAATATTCAATATTTAAAACTCTGTGCTGCCAGGAAGATTCCAATAAAAATACATTTAGAAAAGAGGTTGCATTTCAATGAAAAACTTTTCCTTATTTGCTCTATTTCTGCGTTTATTCAACTGATGACGTCGCGTAAGTCATTTTAATATTATGAAATAATAAATATCACGTAATCATAGCCTGATAACATGAAATTGCTTATTCTAATATAAACTGTGAACTCATCCGACCTGCTCTAAGATTATGCTAGATAGACTTTAAATGATAATCATTTAATTCTTAAAATGCCTGTAGTTATTCAAGAGGCCTTTTGTGACCGTATGAATTATACATAGCAAGTCGTTTATATGTTTTAATCTGGTTTAAAAATGGAATATTTTACAGGTGGTTAAGTTAAACATTTTGATATTTTTTATATTAGAAATATAAAATAACAATAAAAAACTCAAAACAATTTAAAAAACAAAAAAAATACTAAGAAAAAAAATACATAAAAAAAACACGAAAGAATACTCTGCCGCGAATTTTCGTCGTTACGAAAAATTATGGCGTTCTTGTACCATCCCCTACACATTTTTCTTCTGAGGGACAGAGGTAACGGATGACCAGTGTTTAATAACCCTTAACCCTAAAACCTTCAACCCTTACGTCAAACCATCCCTTACATAATCTTGTCTTGATTTTAATAGGGTTATTATGACAGCTGTCAAGGTTTATCTGTCAGTTTAAAATTGTGACAGATAGAGTATTTTCTTTCGGACCCATATTATTATCTAGGATCAGTAATAAATCCATCATTTTTAATGTCATTGTAATTTTTATCTCAGTAGGTATGATTTTTTATAAACATGTATGTTTATGTAAAGAAAAATAATATATAGCATTAAATTTTGATAAAATCATCTTACATTGAATACTGTTTCATTTTAAATTTTATCCAATATAATTTTTTCTCTATATTGTTTTAATTTTTTTGTTGTTTCGCACTAGTAAGCACTCCTTTTACACCTCTGACTGCCTCTTTAAGGCATACTAGGCGTGAATATTATGAGTTATATCGATGTGAATCATCAAAATTATTCTAATAGGTTTCCTTATTTCGGTTTAGAGGTTCATCCTAACATTTAATTCATCCATCTTCACGCTTCGCTGTACTTCATATTTCCTACTAACAGCCAGTAGTTACTCATGTTCAGTAATTAATGGTTATAGTAGAACAACTATTATTATTACAAAATAACCATGTGGATCAATATAATACAGTTTATATATAAAATAAATATGTCGTAAGGAAATTTAATTATTCTGTAATGAACTATACAAAAATTTACAAAATAATTAAACTTTTATTTAAAATAAATTACATTAAAATTAATAAAATAAAAGTGTTGGAATGGAAAACGAAGCCACATAGTAAGGAATAAAATAGTCTTGAAAAAATATTGCATACAGTAACATATTATCTTGTAGAACCAGTGGCCAAGGTCAATAGTAATGATACAGGTTTATTTTTAACGAAACCACTTTGGAAGCCAAATTTTCTAGGTAATAAAGCATCGTTTGTTGAATCTTGATGGCTTATAGTTTATAATATAATAAACACGATATTCGAAGACAATTTCCTTAAAGACGACTGTATTATTTCTGTTCTTACTGAAGAGTCTAAAATTACTGGTTATATGGTACTGAATATGTGAATATAATTATGTATTGTTATAGATTTCCAATACGAAGAAATTGTAAGTCGATTCCGTAGTTTTAAATGTAGTTTTCTGTGCGTAGTAATAATTGTACGTAATTTCGGATTTGATATTAAGAACTGGTGTAATTTCATCAGCATCCTTAAACTGTATCAACCGATTTACCAAACCGACATTCCAAGTTCCACCAATTTAACACAGATTCCTCACCAGGCGATCCTTCACGAAGACCTATTAAAAGTCATCCACCACCTCGAATCTACTGCTTCACAACATTAAGTAGTGCCCCAAACTTTAATTATGTTCCATCTGTGACCAATTGCGTTCGTGTCTCGCACTTCTCGCTTGTCATGCAACGTGCTACCGAACGAATCCGGTCGGTAGAATCAAAAACCACAGCTCCATCCTCAAAAGGAACTCTATACAAATCACATTTAAATTCAAAATCGTCTGCTACATCTATTTTATCAAATACATTCCCTAACGTTCATTGTTAGACACTACAACCGTCAGCATCGACTGGTGATGTTACAGTTTGAGCTTTATTTGCTTTGGGCTTGAGATCATTATCATTTGATTGCGGATCGACAGCGCCCGAAGGAACGTGGCTAGCAGCCTCATTGTTAGATGAAAACGATTCTAAGAGATGACGTGTCAGTTTTAAGTTAGAAACTAATTTGGGATATCACAAAGAGTATCAATGGTGTACCGAAACACTTTATTGCGCGAACAGAGCCGCCGAAAGTACCGGCTTTTGTTGGCACGTGTATACAAATACTTATTTAAAATTCAGTCTTCGATAACTACGATTCGGTATTGAATTTGCAATTCATCTATTATTGTCTATATTTATTATATAACGTAATGTATTATCGAATACAGCAAAGATGTTATTTACGTTACTTATGTATGTGAAATACTTTACTTTATAATCATGGATGCTACTGCTACAGTAGTCCCAGAGGTTGAGTCAAAGGTTCTGATTACCCAGACGTACATAAGGAAGTCAAAGCGATTACTGCGCGTGGAAAACGCCGTGAAGCCAACATCCTGCCTTTATTAAGAGTTGGCCAAATAAAAAAAGAACTAAGAATCATTTGTTCCGGCTGCCCGCGGATGTCGTTCAAGGGCGAAATTCACTTTTTGATGATTTCAATGATGTTTACAGTGATGATGAAAATTATTTGTAACATTATGATTGGTCGGTTTCTTCGTAGCGTTAAGTTGTTGGTTGAACTTGTTTTAGTATCGTGTTGTATGTTTTTAATCGTTCAACATTTCTTATGTTTCAATTAATATTTTTATCTCATGTTCCTATCTGAAATGACTGTATAATTTTGCGTTGTTTATGCCCTACATTATATACCGATGTAAATTAAGTTATCGGTAATATTAACAGTTTCTTCTCTGTTCATTTCAGGTTTTCGGATCGAAAGCGGACCTCCAGCTGCACACTCAAATCCACCTGCGCGAGGCGAAGCCCTACCGCTGCACGCAGTGTCCGAAAGCCTTCGCCAACTCCTCGTACCTGGCGCAACACTCTCGCATTCACTTAGGCATCAAGCCCTACCGCTGCGAGATCTGCCAGAGGAAGTTCACTCAGCTGTCGCACCTCCAACAGCATATTCGAACACACACCGGAGACAAACCCTATCGCTGCACCCAAATCGGTTGTACCAAAGCCTTCTCTCAACTTTCCAACCTCCAAAGCCATAGCCGGTGCCACCAAACCGACAAACCCTTCAAATGCAACTCTTGCTATAAATGTTTCACCCACGAAAAAGACCTCCTCGAACACATCCCTAAGCATAAAGAATCGAAGCATTTGAAGACTCATATATGCCAGTATTGTGGCAAGAGTTACACGCAAGAGACGTACTTAAGTAAACACATGAATAAGCATGCGGAGAGAGCTGATAAGCGGCCACCGATATCCGCTTTAGGATTGAGTGGATTGAACAGATCCCTGGGAGCTGCTGCTCCCACTGCCGCTCCTTTCGGTGACCATCCGTATTGGCCTAAGGTCAGCCCTGACTCTGCGGCGCACATGTCTGATGAAGGTGGTTACCACCAGCAAAGAGAGAGCGACGAGCACCATGAACAGCAATTGCAGCAACAGCGGGCTCTGTTTGCTCAGCACGAGAGCCAGGACGATCGAATCCAACCGCCTGTGTCGTCCGCCGCGAATTCGGCATTTACACCGATCAATTCGATGGCTCCACACCTCAATGGGCTCTCGCACCATAGTGCCCTGCCCACGCGGCCGTATCTTTACGATCCCCTACACTTCCAGCAAGGCAAGCAGCAGCCTAACTCCTTCCCCAACCAGCTGATATCCCTGCATCAGATCAGGAACTACGCTCACCAACCCTCGGCACTGCTGCCCGCGGAACACATCCTCCCCCATGCGTTATCGCACAAGGATAAGCAGTAACTTACCGTAGGTACACTCAGTATAGTATGTACTTATGATGGTATTACTAGTTGTATAATTAACGAAATATTAAAATTATATATATTAGAATCTCGCTCTCGATGACAGTGGTATTACGGTTTTATTGTTAGAAAAACAAATTCATGTTTTTAGAGATAAAATTGTATGGATACTCGAAATTTTGTGAAGTAGATAACAAAATTTGATGGGTATGAATGTGATTTCGGATTTATTTTCCATTTATATACTGATTTTATTGATTAGTTTTTTGTTTACGGTTGTTTCTTAACCCAGTTGATCCGAGGGTTTGATCGTCAATTATAGTTCGCAGCAAAAATCATACTTTACACTGCTGAATTGGTTTGGAGAAAAAAAGACTTGAGAAATTACGATTCGTATTGAATTGAATTTTTATATTTGTGATAGTATTTGATGTGTATGTAAAATTTTATCTAAAAGTATATCTATTGTTTAAAATTTTATACTTTCGATTTTTGTTCGTTTATTTTCGTTCAAATTATTTCAGCATGGCAATATTTATCGATCAAACATTCGTAACAACTCGGATGCATAATAATTTTCACTTTGTAAAAAGAAAACTAATCTTTGAACAAGAACAAAATATTCAGAAATATCTTTATTCTTGTTTTCTTTTTTCTGCATAATTTTTGTCGATGCATAATAATTATTGTCCCAGTGATTTTTGTAATTTATAAGTAGAAAATAAATCATAAAAAATTATCAAATCAAAAAATTCTTAAAATAGCATCTCATTTTTATACATTTTATTCGAAATTTTACGTGAAATTAAACTATTAGAGTGAGACTGCATTGGATTATACCTATTCTATATAATTTATTCACAATTAATTAAAAATAAGTAATAAAACATAAATATTTGAATCAAAAAGTTCCTGAGAAAAGCAAGTATTTGTTATAATACATGTGACTTCAAAAAAAAAATATCTCAAGTACTTCACATCTTATTTCTGTTGCATTTTTTATTGTATTCATTAAGAATAAATAAATAGATCTCTATAATCATCACATTTGCACTCAGTTCCTACTTAGATCATATTTTTATGTATTTTTTTAGCTTTATCTATCACACTTTCATTTTATTTTTTGTATTCTCATTTTTTGTTTCCAAAAAAATTTAGAAAATGTATTCTTCCGTTTTTTATGGAAAACAAAAAATAAGTTAATTATTATTAAGACGTCGCGGGTCGAATATATTTTCTAATTATAAAAAAATAATAATTGTCTCCATGTGTGAAATAGATTTGAGTGGCCAAATCGCTTCTTTTACGTCACACAATAAAAAGGTGCACTTTTTGTAAATATTTTGTAAATACGAATACGATTTTTTGAGGGAAAAAATCCATGAAAATTTAACGAACAATTTTTTTGTTTTTTTTTTTTTTTGTTTACTTTATAATATCTAAAAGTGCTTATGCTCAATTATATTAGTGTTTAAGAACTCAGGGGTAGTGGCGTACTTTGGAATTGTAAAGTATTCCTATTTTCCGTACTTAATAGGCCCTTCGTACATCGATTTTTTAGACTAGTTTCATGTATACGAACAAACACACAGTTGATTTGTTTTATTGTTTTCGAACGAATCAGCGATAGTAGATAAAATTAATAAAAGAAATGTGATAGGAGATGGAACGGGAAAGAGTGACTATTTTTGGAGGAATGACTATTTTCCTTCTAAATTAATTTGCTATTGATCTTTTTAGTTGTAAAAATGTTAGGTTGTGGTTACTTGTTAGGGTCCGCGGGGCAAGATGGCCGTCTGTCTGTCACAAATTAGCCAAATCTTTATTTTTTCTTGTACAAATATGTTTTTCTTTAATTATTATTAATAACGGCAATAAGTATTTCTTCCGATCATTTGTTGTTAAGTAAGAATTGTATATTAATTGTAACATGACAATGAGCCAAGAGTTAAACCCAATTTTTATCAAATTTTGGATTTAAGGGAATAAAAATCGCCAATATCTCTCTATTATAAGTAGAAATGTGATATTGTAATTTGATTTTTTTAAGTTAAGTGTAAACTTATTATTATGAATACGATATTTTTGTAAGTAATTTTTTTTTTCGTTTTACGTTAGTTTTTCGCTTTTTCTAGCGTTCTCGTTTTAAGGTTTATAGATGAAAATGAACGAAAAATCATTTTTTGTTACTTAAAATTGATTAAAAATTAATTACAACTATGCCAAGAAATTATACCTGTGTCTTTTATTTATCAATTATTTGATTATCACCCGAATTAGCTTCAAAATACCCTTACACAGAATACTCATCCACACACACACACACATACACAGCCATATTTAATCGATTATCATAAAGATAAATATAGTTTAAAAGTTCAACATGAGTATTACATGCAGTCTGCAGAATACACAAATTCAGTCTTGTTTAACCGTTACTGCAACTACAGCACAAAGTACGGCATAAATTGGGTTCGATTCCCACAAATCACACAAAAAACTAATATGTCCAAATACGTACTCTCTCGTATCGTAATCGTATCTCGATTTAAAGTAAATCATAAGAAAAATTACACTTTCATAATTTTAATACTGGTTAATAATGAAATTGGTAATATAGTAGAATTAATATTATGGTTACGTCACATGGAAGAGTGGCTGACATCGCTGCACGAAGAAAAAAGAAAAAAATCGACAAAAACAAGTGACATATACACTTGTACAAATTGTGATTATAGATTAAATCACGCATGTCATCAAGTGCGTAAGTATAAGACATAAGTTAATAAATTATGACACAATTTTGAAAAGGTGAACAAAGATCCACGAATACAATAATACCGATGTGTTTTCCATCTTTTTCTCAGTTATCTTATGATTGTCACTTATTGGTAGGTGGTGAACCTATTGCCATATTATTATACTGGCTACAATTTCGAACTCCCTTTTTTTCTAAGGGGGGAAAATAATCGAATGACTTCTCCCGCCTGGGTAAGGTGGGAGGAAGTATCAGACTCTTACTGACATAAACCACCTCGTTCTTACTCCTGCACTTTGAGCTGGAGCCCCGGTAACCCGTTAAGTTCTCCGCAGCTCCGTATTGGCATGAGCCCTATTGAGCCCCATCTGTGGTGGTCTGATGGCTCTTTAAGGTGAGCGTAGAACGTAACGCGCCGCACGCTCGGTTCTGGTTCTGATCGGCCGGCGAGCTACCCATGCTCGCCGTCCACAGGCCTGTGCTTATAGTAATTTCAGACTTCCTGGGTATCATTATTGAGAAATTTTTGAAATATCGAAAACGCCTAATAATATTTACCGGGAATCAACAGTCGCACAAATGACCAACAAGGCAGTTTAAACCATTTTGTACTAGGTAAGTATAAGTAGTTTACGTATACATTATTTATAATAAATAACTAATAAAGTAAAATTGTGGAAGGTCGAAAAGGAGATGGCGGGACGAACTGGATATCTATGACAAGGATTGGCCGCAATAAGCTTTATATAGAGAGGAGTGGAAGGAGGGTAAGGAGGCTTGTACCCCGCAGTGGGCCTTTATGGCTGAAATAAAATAAAGTAAAATAAAACAAAACAATTTTTAGAACTTTCCTCCTTTTATTTAGTTAACAGTCGCAAAATACATTATAATAATTAAACACTTAAAATAGGTATTTACAAATACGGGATCATTCTACCTACGTAGGCAAATTCCATACACAAACCATACAAAAATTAGAAAGCAAATACATAATACTTAAATCAGAAGGCAAAGGCACAATTTACATAATAAACTTTCAGTAGAAATTCACAAAAAATAAAGAAAAAAATATCTACGAAAAGTTGACAACCAACAATAGTAAGCGAATTTGTCAAAAACTCCTCTGACTATATCAAAAACTTTTTCTAAAAAAAGAAGTAGAGGAATTTATTACTTAAATAAAAAAATAAAAAAACAAAAAAAAATTCGCAGAAATTCTTGGCCAGCAAATTGTGTCTCGCTGCACTTAAAAAATAAAGGGAATATTTTTGAGTTAATACTTTATATGTATTGTCATTTAGTCGCCCTAAATACTAAACGAGAATCATATAAAATTAGCCAGAATACTGAACTTACGACAACGCGATAAAACAAACAATCTGTCAAAGTTACCGCAAACAAAAAAAAAAATAACTTTGACAAAATCAGAAATATTGTATCCTGCCGACTGTCAAACTCTTATTTTCATAATTTTATGTTAAACATCGATAGAAAAATTGTAAAATAAAATGGCACATTTGAGTAAAAAAATTCAGTCTGACAAAAATAAGACCTAAAAATACGACAAGGCTTAGATTTTAGTAAAATAAATAACTTTGACGTTGGAGTTACACATATACGCCTACCATTTCTAAACAAGCAAAGAAAAAAAACTAAAAATCAACTCCGATACTAAATAAAAACAAAAAATACACTACAAAACAAAATACAAGATACAAAAAAAAACAAAAAAATCACAATGATCTATCGACATTGTATCTGACAAATCGGCATCGTTGCCGTAAAGCAAAAACCATTATTTTCTGTATATTTAGTTAGAACTTCTGAAAAATGCTTATATGTAATAGGAAATTGAGATGACAATAATGATGATGTTTTTAAATAAATTATAGATAATAAAGGATCAAGAAAAACACGAGATGGATAGTGAAAAGGTTTTTTTACTAATAAAGTTGACACTACCGTGAAATTGATGATTTACCCAACATATGTGATCTTTTATAATTCTCCTAAAAAACAATACATCCAAGGATGTTGTGAAAGACCTATAATTAAAATAAAACTCCAAATTATACAAAACAGTTGCATAATATAACTATTATTCTTTTTCGACTAGATAATTTTAGTTTATATAAAACTGAGTGAGACAAAAACAATAAAAATCACGGTATTTAAGAGATCAAAGTAACAAGATGGATGCACAAACCTTTTCCTTATCCTGTAGTATAAATCAAGCTTTGGTAATATATTTAAAACATATTTAGATATGTCTTGGAAACTAATGTGCAATATTATTATATAAATTTACTTTTTGCATTGCTTCTATTTTATTTAAAGTCCTGAAAGTAGTTGTTACTCTCGAATTTCCATTCCAAATCTAAATAAATGTTTTAAGATAATTAAAATTAAAATATGAATCCATGATAGCGCATACAGCCTAAATATTCTGTTCTAAAGAACAATAATTTAAGATTAACTAAAACAAAATGACTAGAAAAATTCAGTAAAAAAATACACCAGAAAAATATGATTTTCAATGAATACAAAACAATTTTTTTTTTAGTTTTAGTTTGTATGCACTATCACCCCCTGTTCACTATTCTCTTCTTAGACTTCCACCTTGTAGGGGGAGCCGGGGATGTGTTCATCTCCCCACTTGACGATGACGATGTAGTCTCCCCTATCTCTGACGACGTACCAGCATTCATAGTTGTTCTTTCCTTTGTGTTTCAACTGGACCTCATCACAGGGACCTTTGGGTCCGTAGATACCCACGTACAGGATGTTGTTGCCTGACGAAAGAGAATTGCGATATATTTTATGATACCAGTTACATTTTGATGCATATTGGCTATCACAGCTCTATACTAGATATAAAGTATTGGACAAAGACTTGGAGTCATTTTACAGATTAAATTACTGTGATAGTCTATGAAAATCAAAGAGAAAGACTAAAATAATTATCATATTAATCTAAAAATCTCATGGTGTATTGCTCTTTAATATAGAAAACCAACTGATTCTACTTTATCTTTTTCTAAAACTCTTCTCTCATCATGAGAGGAGAATAGTATACAGGTGATGATCTTCATCAGGTGATCTGCTTGTCACCTACAACACCAGAGGCGTTACAAGTGCGTCACCGATCTTTTGGGAATCTGAGGGATTCGGGGATTGGGGGATATGGGGGAGGGGGTAATTGGGCCTCCGGTAACCTTACTGACACAACGAAAGACAAAGCAAGCGTTATTTAACGTCAGTTTCCTGTGAGGCCGTGGTACCACTCCGGTCTAGCCGGTCCATGCGAGCCGAAGCATGGCTCTCCTACACTTAATATCTGTCTTCACAACAAAAAATCCTTACCAGCATCACCAGCGTGCACCGTGAACTGGTTGTGTTTGTTAAGGTACGCCTTCTTCAGACCCATGCCCTTGCTGGTGACCTTAGAGGCGTCTGATTTGAAGTTAGGCAGTACTGGACCTTGCTTCTGCATGGACTTGGCGACTTTCTGGACTGTTTCAACAGTTACTGATGATGTTTCCTGTGCTCCTACTTCAGCGAGGTTTGCACCTGTTGGAAAGAAGTGGTTTAGTATAATTTTTTGAATTAAAGGATGAGTACCAATACGAGAAGTCCTAGTTTAAATGTCAAGGCAGTAAAGAAAAATACTAATAATGCTCTGACTGCCTCGTCGGCCGAGTGGTCGCAAGTGCGACCACTCGGAAGACCTCTCGGTCTTCCAAGAAAGACAAACAATAACGATACCTCATACATCAAAATCCATCAAGCCGTTTAGGCTACAGGTGGTCACAAAGGAAAATACATACATACATACTTACATACACTCGAAAAACATTACCCTCCTTCTTTGGCAGTCGGGTAAAAAGAAGCTCTATGCAACTTACCGGTAGCTTCAATCTTGAACGGTGATCCGACGATGTGGGCGCCGTTGTACTTTATACTCATGTAGTAGAATCCAGGTGCAAGAGGTGTGTAACGAACCTGTATACAAAAATGGCATTCAGTACGATGATGAAAGACGAAAATACTGTCAGAGTTCTGGTAAAAGATAGTCAAACACCGACCATTAATTTTTTGTTAAACAGTCCCCATACTAGGATTTTCTCCAGTGTCGTGGGTGCGTCTACAAACATACAAGTTCACATACACATGACACCCAGACCCGAAACAACAACTTGTGGAATACAATGAGTCGCTCAGTGCGGGAATCGAACCCGCTACACGTTGCGTGACAGCCGGTTGCACAGCCACCGCACCAACCGTGAAGCCAATATTATCCCAACATAAATTACCAGACCTCAAATGGCAGTTACACCCGCTTCCTTACGACTTCAACCAACAAGACTTTGACAGAAGGATCTGGTCTCGAAGTCACTTAACAAAATGTACTGCAGAAACAATTCTTACCTTGTAACCTTCATCTACATCTGTGCAGTCCATAGCGACTCTTGAAGGTCCATCCATGGTGACAGCCAGCAGACCCACTCCAGCATTGCATGTGTCGATGATCAGATCCGTCTTCACACCTAAAAAAAATTTTAATGTAAATATGGTAGCCATTTAGTAAGAGATCGACCGGCTGACAAAGAACTAGGTGACTTGGACAAGTATAGTGAAAACTTGGTGTTAAATCGTACAGTGGCATTAATTGCCGTAGTGTGCACCTCTGCCTACCCCTTCGCGGATAAAAGGCGTGATGTTATGTTATGTTAGACCGGCTGCCAGAAGTAAGTCGCATATAATTCAATTACTTCAACTTACCAGTCTTGACTGCTCCCAAACCAGGTCCATGAGCATGAACCGCTGCAGGGTCAGCGTCGTCCTTTCCGACCTGGAGAAAATATACATCATGATCAGCTACAGTTTTTGTACCGTTTACTTTCAGTGCTTTCAGAATATCTCTATCTTTTTTAGGCGTTCCTAATCTTAAGATAGTTATTTGTAGTTACTGATGGGTACAGTTAAGAATAAAAAATTAAAACAAGTTAACTTAAATCTGAATAAAAAATACAGTATTGTTCACCTTCAGTTTTATACAAGAATATAAAGATAGTTTGGTCCTGTTTCACAATTACCGATGTTTAAATTGATGTTAATTTTACTGATAAATATCTACACTAATATGGACGAAAAATACGTCAATCAATCGCATCAGTTCCATTAAAAATAAGTAAATTAGAGTTTATTCATTTTTAGTATCTTTGTACTAGTGTAACAGCGATAAGTTACGCCATCTATGAGATTGAATGGGAAACATCTTTAAGGTAATTCTAGCCTTGAGTGGCGCTTTAGTCTATGATTGTATGAGTTTTAATTATGTTGAATTATTCATAATAGTTATATCTCGGGTATAAGTAACAGGTATAAATAATATTAGTGGCCCTTATTGTGATTTGGATTTCGAATATGGCTAACGTTTCAGAAAGGGCTAGCCTTAACCGCTATAACTACATCGTTACAATGGGGAATTTTTACTACACTTCTATTTAGAAATTTAAGCAAACTAAATTTCTCCAGTAATAACCTACTGCACATAAAAAAAATAAACGTAAAACAATAATACTGATTTGCACACTAATTGTTCAATATTGGGTTAGGTTAGGCTTGTTTTTTTATGTTGTTTTTATTTTTGTTATTTTGTTGCATTTGAAGAATTATTAGATTTACTTTTAGTTAAAAGATAGTCATTCAGTAAAACAATTAAGCTTTAAAGATCTAACAGTATAGTATAATTGATTTATTTGATAAGCAAATTAAGTATGCAATTCAGTTACCAAAAATACTGATTTTTGGTGGTAATTTCGAATATTTTAATTGAAAAAAGGGAATTTACAGTTAAAGTATTAAATACCACGTTACAATTTGTACAATGTTACAAATATTTACCTATTTAGTTTTATTAAAAGGTAATAAGACGCAAGCCGTTTAGCGCACAGTGGACACTATTCCAAGCTTCACGGTAAAATTACTGATATTTTTTTTTAAAACACAAATATGTAAATTATGATGTTTATCAACCTGAGAGCTTAACAGTTGCATTTTTTAATAATTTGAACACTTACCTGACACTGGCTAAAGAAAGTATAAAGCCATCACATAATCAATAAGTCATTTTCATAACTAACCTTGATTCTCAACGGAGAAGCAGGAATATGGACTCCATTGAATTTGACATTGATGTTGTGGACACCATTTTCCCTTGGCATGAACCTGATGCTGTATTGGTCTCCGTCTATGTTCTGGATGAAGCAGTCGTCGGTCTTGCCTGATGGGGCGATCACCTGGAGGAAGAAAATGCAAGATTATTAAATAAATGTAGTAATGTGGGTACAAAATGGTACTAAAAGTAAATGTGGAAGTAACGTAGCAACCCTTTTAAGTTTTAATTCACTATATATAAGTAAATTACTAGCGACCTGCAACGCGGTGACTGTCGCGCTGCTACTGCTACGCATCGCAGTTCGCGAAATGCTGCTCATGAATATGAGCCTCTAGCATGGCTTGAAACTAGTCGAGTTCCTCGTCAAATTATTACGTGAGTAAGCCGAAAACATAATAATTAATTTAGATGAGTCTTAGAAAAATATTTTTTAATCTGATGCCCAATTTCTCCAATCCCTGAATCCCCAACAATCCTCAAATTCCTAATCCCAAAAGGCCGGTAACAAACTTGTAACGCCTCTGGTGTTCCAAGTGTCCATGGGCGACGCCGATTGCTTACCATCAGGTGATCCGTCTGCACGGTTACCGGCTTAGGCAAAAAAAAATGAAATTATTTTTTGCTTTTCATGGCCTGTCCTAATTCGACACCGGACTGCTAGTAGTGCTACACTGTGCTTTATCCAAAAATTAAAATACATATTCTAAAGCTGATTATGGCATACAGTGTATCAAGCTGTATAGATACCATGCATTTATATTTATTATAGAGAAGAACAAGGAAAACTCAGCCTCATTGCTTTTCCACGGACAGAATTCCGACGCATCTCACAAGTTTTTTTGACCAGCCCTTGGAGGCAAGTTTCCCGCACCCCATATTAATTTTTATAGCACAACGTGGCCAACTTTGCCACAATATTCATCGGGTACTGGCATCTTATAAAATATTAGCGCCAACATGATTTATTCTGCAACAAGCCGGTCACGTGCGGACAGTTCGTTTTATTACATTTTTTGTCCACGAAATCTGGGGCCAGGCACACTGTGCAGGAATGTGTAGATATTGTTATGATTTTTAGTTTTTGGTGTTAGAATTTGATTTCTGTGTTTTTTGTATTAGTTTTGGCTTTTCCTGATTGATTTAAAATTTTACATATTTATTATGACACATCAAATTACAAAAATAATAATAGGTTTGCCTGTCAGTCAGTTCTTTAGCGGTTATATAGGACTTGCTGCAATGTTTATATGACCTTATCATAGAATTATGTTTATTTTACACCATTAATAATATAGTTCATACAGAAAGAAAATAACAAATATAAATAAAAAAATAATAATGGGCACAAAGGCAGTCTTATTGAAAATTGTACTGTGAACCTGATTGAAAAAGAGTAACCTATGGAGTTTCTTGCTCGTTCTTCTCCATAGGAATCTACACTTTGGAACGAGTAAATAGTTTCACTAGAGGACTGACCTACAGACTGACATTTTTTTCTTATTATTTAATATTTAAATATTTTGTTGTGACGTTCAAAAGTGCCTTCCTGGTCTAATTGAAATAAATGATTTTGACTTTGATTTTGAGCGATTTCTGCCAGACAACTTTTGGGTGGATATAATGTAAAAGCAATATTTAGACGGGTTGTGTAACTACTACGAAAAAAAATAGTATGTATGTTCATTATGTTATCAAAATCGTATCAATCATGTACGTTATTAATTCACAGCTACTTGAAATGCAGATTTTATATTTACACTCGCAACTTTAAAGAAATTATAGACCTTAGTTTCAGATAGTATGAAATAAATTAAAAAAACCTATTATACTTATAAGATATTATCACTCCTCATTTCAAACCCAATAATAATAAATCAAAATAAAAATCACAAAATCAAAACTCGCACAGTGAACTCAAATCTCCGCAAATGTGGTAAAAAAAATCACCCTAAACGCGGAATAAACGCACGTTTGATACTGCACAGTGGTCCATCGATCATAAATCTTGGACACAGCCGGACATAGGCGATCGTCATGTTCCCACGATAAATCAAACCGAAGTTAGGGTGCATCAGAAGATATTGTCTAGTACGTCTTATATAAATGTTTAAATTTATCTTATACTTGTGCGAAATATGGCGAATTTTGTTAACGGCTTTCTGTAAAATTATGTTTGATTGTGTGATTGTATAAGTAACGTCTTAAATTATTTTTGCTAGGACCGGGAGAGGGGTAAATCTTTTCAAAGGCAACATTAATTTGAAAGTTACCTGCTAATTCTAGAATCACCCCTATTATGGCAAGATGGGCCCGAATAGCTAGGATAAGGGAATACTTCTTACCTTACTGAACTTGATATAATATACTATTTTACTAAGACACTTTGACAATATGTAAAACGAAAATAAAATTATATATCTAATATTCTTAGTGTCTTTTCATTTAAACTGTCAAACACCGCGAGGACACCGGTGACCGCAACCTATTGTTCTTTAATTGTGTCTATAATGTACTCAAAGGGTTAAGTCAGCGAAGGAACCTCAACATTCGTAGACCTTAAACCTTACAAAAAAAAAACTAGGATTTACTCCTGTATTTGTATCTGAGGTCTTAGTACGAGTAAAGTTCACGTTAAAAGTAATCGAAACGAGACTGCCTTCAGCTCTCCGATTGGTTGGTTCATTGCAGCCGACCAATCAGAGCGCCGAACACGTACTCGTTTCGATTAATTTAAACGTGAAACAAACTTGTACTAAGGCCACTGTAGGTGCAATTCCTATTGGTTAAAATGATTTCACTTACCCTGCCATCCAAGCTACCCTTGGCTCCATTGAGCCTGATGTAGAACTGTGTTGGTTTGTCGACTTGTGCTGAGTCGGGGAACTGAGCCACCTCGAGAAGGTGGGCATCTCCAACAGCTGGTGAGATGTAGACCTTGAAGGGAGAGTCAGGGATGTGCTGCTCGTTGAATTTGAGACCGATGCGGTATTCACCTGGTAAGAAAAGAAGGTGGTTAGATTTTTAGTGACCAAATAAGCGATCAATTAAGTGTGGGAGAGCCATGCTTCGGCACGAATGGGCCAACTCGACCGGAGTGATACCACGGTCTCCCAGAAAACCGACGTGAAGCAACGCTTGCGTTGTGTTTCGTTGTGTGAGTGAGGTTACCGGAGGCCCAATTAGTATCTCTAGTTTGGGTCGAAAGTAATCAAGTTCGCCGTCAAACAATTACATGAGCCGAAAAATATAATAATAAAGTTTCACAAGTATTGCGAATTAATAGTTTTTCTTTTATTGGGCATCTACCACCCATTCCCAGATTCTTTTCAAAAATTCCATCCAATGGTTGTCTGGAAGAAACCGCCGCGTGTGATAAGACCGCCCATTGTACTCAAATTACTATTGCTATGTTTATATTTTTTTTCTGTGTGTGCAATAAAGTATAAATAAATAATAGGGTTTAAAGTGCAATTCTGATAATGTTCTCTGTACACAGATTGCAGACCCTTTCTCTGCAACTAGGATAACCTGTATCTTAAGAGAAAATCTTCATAGTGATTGCATATATGTATAGTATCGTTTTCATTATCGTTAATCGTTTTATTGTTTTCTAATATTAATAATAGCTTGTACCTTTAGATTTACTTTAGGTTTTTTTTTATGGGGGAAAATCATCCAATGACTTCTCCCGGGTTACGGCGAGAGGGAGTGTCAGACTCTTACTGACTAAAATCCACCCCGTTCCTACTCCTGCACTTTGAGCCGGAGCCCCGGTAATCCTTTATGGCTTGGACTTACAAAAAGTCCTTCAAACAAGTCATCCATCGGATACAGAAATCTCTAAACGTATTGTTGAGCCCTGAGTTTCTGATGTTAAATCTTTATTATCTCCATAACAAACTCCTTTGTCTCCCCACCTTCTAAACTACACATCAGATATCTAATCCCAACATTATCAACGCAGAAATCAAACGAGATCCGATCCGGAAACGTCCCACAACTGAGGACCACAAAAAACCGGAACACCCAATTAAATACGGAGACAATTCGTATTCTAATACGGCCAGCCACCCAAAAACATCGACAAATCTCCTAATAAATTCGGTCAATTAAAAAAAACTGACGAAATTGCAAAAAGTGCTGTTCGATTTTGGAAAAAAACAGGTACTGTGTCGCTCTGTATAACGTACTAATGATGCAACCAATAATTCTTGGCTGACTGACTGACTTGAGATATTTAAATTTTCTACGTTTATTTAGGGTCCGTTTTAGTTTTTTGGTTCTGCAAGTTTAGGTTCTTTGCCAGTCTGATTTAAATCAAATCATTTATTCCAACAGCCTATAAGTGCCCACTGCTGAGCAAAGCCTCTTCTCACAAGGAGAAGGTTTAAGTATTAATCACCACGCTTGCTCAATGCGGGTTGGCGATTACAAACTTATAATTAGAGCCCAGGTTTCCTCACGATGTTTTCCTCCACCGTTTGTCAGTGGTGTCTGAATAATCTTAGAAAGTGCATATAACTAGGAAAAAATCATTTATTCATTACATTTGAATCACATTATTAAGTCCCTCCAATTAAAATCTGTCGTCACAGGTGTATGAAATATTGTTGGGTTAAGTTGATAAACATAGACTAAATAGATTTTAGATCAGTAGGTGTTGCAATGTAGATAATGCTGTCCATTTCAAACAAGGCTGTTCCGTATAAGTTGTGTATTATCAACATCAAATAAGTAGATACAAATTAAAATTATACGAAACAAAACTCTTAATAGTTTATACCAAATCGTGAGCAATGTTGTGTATTACAATATTAACTTACATATCGCTGTTCGGTGCAAGACATTTCATGTAAAATTCTAATGTGTAATTGTTTTCGTCCCTTTCTTAAACTGTCAAACACCAAGCGGTCACCGGTGACCGCAACCTATTGTTCTACCTCTATAATTGTGTCTACAAAACCGGTACTCGACGAGTTAATCTAATTATTGGTCTTACTTTCTTTCTCTTTCCCAAATAACTAATTTCTTTTAAACTACATTATTTGCATACAGGACTGAACTTGAATAACTCAACTCTACTATTCTTACTAGCTGTTTTACAGACATATATGTATACAGAACCTTCTTATTATAATGGATCTCGTACTTGATTATCGTTTTTCAATATGAACGAAATTCTCAGCGGTGGCCATATAGTTTGTTACAGATTTATTTACATCCGAGGTAGGACATTTTTTCAACAAACTTTTTGTTGATTGTACGAAAAAAGAAATACTCGTAGACCTTTTCGGAAACAATCCTTTTGTCTCAGAATTAGTTAAAGGGCTGATGATACTATCGAATTAAACGGTAAGTTATTGAACTGAGATAGATGTATTAAACTGTCAAACACCGCGAGAACACCAGTGACCGCAACCTATTGGTCTTTAATTGTGTCTATAATGACGGTACTCAAATAGTAAAGGATATTTATGTGTTTAAATTTAAATTAGCTACACGTCTGATGTCAATCGTTTTCGAATTTTAATGGTGCTATTATTGTATTAAATTATATCTAAATCTTGTAAAAAATATAATTAAATTCTTAAATTTATGGTGCCTTTAAATCGTAATAAGTAGTTGTAATCATACATTACGTAGATACAAACCTCAATCCTTTAGGTAAGCATGGAAAAAGGAGATACATATTTGAGTGAAATTAATAATGTCAATGAATTTACTATGCGAAATTCTTAGATTATCTATAAAACAGTAGGTATATTGAAACCCATACAATATTTAAACAACTTTATTGAACGTAAGTTATGGAAAATAATTTTCCATAAACGACGTTTAACCATATCGACCTCTTTTTTTGGATTCGTTAAACATATTAAAACGTGCTCGTTAATGTAACATATACTTTAATAAAATCCGCATTAAAATCGGTGCAGCCAATTGGGAAATAATCGCAGATAAACATAATACATAATTATTATATATAACATAAATAGTGAGAAGTGGTTGTACATTGTACAGTGGCAATTTGCCATAATGTGCACCTCGTCGGGGATAAAAAGGCGTGATGTTATGTGTGATAATTATTACAGTAAACACACTCTTCATTTCACTTTTGAACTCAGTTAAAAATAACATCAATTTCACTTAACGACAGTTAACTCAACAGTGCAACCAACCACCCAGTGCTTCAAATAATGACGTATGCTATGCAAAATAGTGGTATTGACATGTTAAGGGTTCGATGCCCGGCCCGTTTCCTTCTGCTTCTTATTAAGAAGTTTTTGTTGAAGCAAAAACTGAATTTTAGCTTTTTGCAAGGAAAATATTTTGCAGGTGGCTTCTGGTGTTACGTCAGAATCGGAAGGTAAAAAATAGAAAGTGTCATTTAATATGTTTTGGCTTTTTAAAGTATTTAATTTAAACCAATCATAAAGTTTTCATCATGTAACTTCATTTTAACTTGATCCTGAGACAGGTTTGACGAAAAATAGCCTATTTTCAATGATGATTACTTAAAACATGGAATCATGAAAGAATATTTGCACTTGTCTGCACGGTTGGCGTGGTGGCTGGGCAACAACGTGTCGCAAGTTCAATTCCAGCACGGAACAACTCTTTGTGTGATCCACAGATTGTTGTTACGGGTGTGAGTGTCCTATGTATGTGAACTTGTATGTTTGTAAACGTACCCACGATAGGTACAGGAGAAAAACACATAACATAACATCACGCTTTTTATCCCCGAAGGTGCACATTATGGCACTAAATGCAACTGTACAACGTAACACCCACTTTTCACTATGTTACTAGTCTCATGTAATAGGGGGTGAGCCTATTGCCATATACCGGGCACAAATCCAGACTCCGTGCTACTACTGGGATCTGTTTAAAAAACCTAGTAATACTTTGCCCGACCCGGGAATCGAACCCGGGACCCCTTGCCCGGCAGTCGCATTTGCGATCACTCGGCCAATGAGGCAGTCAAAATCAAAGCATTTATTTCAATTAATTCATAATTTGGTACTTTTGAAACGTCAACAAACACAAAATAAATAATAGTCTATCAGCCTTTCCAGCAGTGAACCTAGGTGCTCATTCCAAAATGTAATCCGGATGGAGAAGAACGAGTAAAGAACTCCCGTCGTTCCTCTATTCTCTTGTCACCCAAGGGAGTAGGCAGAAACTATAACATAGGTACCTCTTTCCTCCACCCATACCTCACTCGCTTCCTCAACAGTCATCAGTCTTTTCAGGCAAGCTCGATTGCTACCCAATTAAATACGTGTAGTTTATTATACGGACCTTGTGGAATCTAGAACGAATTTCCGTGCGTTTAGGCGTTTTTGCCATACCTATTATTGGAAGCAAGTATAACAGCTCACACATAGGACCCACTTAGTTTTCAGTCAAATTTCCGTGGTGCTTGGCGACTGGGCTTCACCCAGTTGTACAGTCTCTTCTTTGTGCCTTTAGGCTTAATTCATTCTGTCTCCTGCAGTAATTCACCGAGGGAAGTGAAAACCATAGTTTTTCTTCTTCTCCTCTTATAATATCTTCTGATTCACTTCGTTGCGGGAACCAAGACAGTTACTCATGTCCCTGGGACGCGCCGGACTTCAGTGTTCCGGTGTTTTCATGGTTGTATCTACTGTAGATCCTGGCTTACAGGAGTTGCAGCGGTTTTGGGAGGTTGTGGCGGGCTTTTCCTATTAAAAAAAAAAAAAAAAAAGCTCGATTGCTCGTTTATTCCTTATTTGTAATTTAATTTACAGTAATACAATAATAGTGGCTGCCTAGTTGGCCGAGTTGTCGTAGGTGCGACTGCCGGGTAAGGGTTCTCGGGTTCGATTCCCGGGTCGGACAAATTATTACTGGGTGTTTAAAAAATTCTCAGTAGTAGCACGGAGTCTGGAATTGTGCCCGGTATATGGCAATAGGCTCACCCCCTATTACATGGGACTTATAGTATAAATAGTGAAAAGTGGGTGTTACATTGTACAGTGGCATTTAGTGCCGTAATGTGCACCTCTGCCTACCCCGTCGAGGATAAAAGGCTTCACAAAATATCAAATATTTGCAACATACAAAGTTGAAACATAAGATCCTAAGAACTCGATGATGCGTCAGCTGTATTTAACGACTATTTAACAGTGGCAACCCCTTGTTAGTCGGCCATATTTGTTTTGCTAATGTAATATTAGCATACCGCTTTATTAATTGAGTCCTAAGTTTTAATTGCTTTAAGATTAGCCATTTATGGTATATGAATAGGATGGTAATTTTACTGGCTAATGGCTGCAGCTGTCTATGGCTTTTTTCTATGACACATAACATCATGCATTTTATCCCCAAAGGTGTAGACGGAGGTGCACAATGCGGCTGTTAATTCCACTGTACAATGTAACTTGAAATGCTTCCTTGTGCGTACTGCTAAGGAGTGGAATTCTTTGCCAGAGTCTGTATTTCCTGAAGGGTATATATAACCTGGGCGTCTCCAAGTGGCCTGAGTGAATAGATTGCTTATGGGACGACGTGTTCCATCATAGACCGCATCATCGCTTACTACTAGGCAAAATAGAGGTCAAACAACGGCCCATCCAATATAGAAAAAACACTCACTTTTCACTATTTATGTTATGAGTCGGATGTAATAGGGGGTGAGCCTATGGCTATATACCGGGCACAATTTCAGATTGCGCGCTACTACTGAGGATTTTACTATGACATTTTTCCTAATCAGTACCTACCTATTATTTAGTAGAATATGCAATTTTAAGTTTTATTTGTTGATTGTAATGGTATATATAGTTTTAGAATTACCTCTAATTCAAGTCGTGCCCATTATTTTTTATTGATGTAATTTGGTGTGTTTTGTGTGAATTTATAAATCAAACGAATAGCAATAGATATTTGTGTTGTCTTCCTTATTGAGTTACTTCAATGTTCATTTTGGTGTAAAAGTTTCTTTGTTTCTTAAATGTTTCACTACTAAGAAACTTTTAGTTCTTACACCTTTTAATAACATCTAGATTTTTTAGAATTTTACTCTGTTTATTGATATGATAAAGGTTACCTACCTATAGATCGCAGTTTTCGCTTGAACTACATCTAAATCCATGGAAGTCATAGTTACGGGTAACAAGTTAACAACTAAAGAAATATAAACAAACATGGCATAATACCTACATAACTAAAAGTTGACGTCATCGCGAAACATTTACAAATGGGGCCATCGAAAAGGGCGCGCATTTCAAAAGTCGGTCAAAAACTCGCTCAAACGATACAAAAGTAACATTCCGTCAAAACGCGTCCACCATTTTGTATGTTTTAAAAACGTTTTTTTACTAAACGATTATTACCATCGGGCGGTCAATTAAAATGACTGCAACACACCACAGTCAAGGAATGCAGGCTCCAAGACTCTCAACTGAATTTGTCTCCTATTCTATTGTATTCTGGATGGCAAAAAATACCGAATCTCCCCGACAAAGAAGCGGGCCCTTTTTGTCTTGAAATACTTCATAAGTGTATCGCGATTAGAAAATTTTGAACCATCCCAAAATAATAATGACTTAAGTTTTGTTAGGCGACAGTTATTTTATGATTGGCCGGTTTTTTTGGCTCGCAATGTCTCGTGTTTTGCCCACTGTTATGTTATTGAAAATTATTTGGTAATTTAATGCAATGAATTTTAGGTTGTTATTGAATTGTTAATGAAGTTTTGGGTATTGTTTGGTTGCTAACTGTGTTATTATAGTTAGTTTGTTATTATCGTCGTTTTTAATGCTGATTTCTGGATAACCTCACGCATGAATGGTATAAAATTAAGTCATTTATAAACGTATTTATAAAAATGTATTCCGAAAACAATCCATTACGAAATTCCTTTGTTTTTATCAGAATTAATTCTAATGATACCATCTTCATTAATTACTACTTTCAATTGCTCCTCCAGACCACAACCCCTGCTGTTACGATTGGCGAAATTCTAGAAATTTCGAATCAATCAAAACAATCTCCATTTTCGTCTCTACATGGGACAACAGATAAAAAATTGCAACTTTTTAAAATTCGAACGCGAGGCACAACCGACAAAGATGCCGCTGTCAATATATGCGAATATATTATCTGTATTATAGGTACTTTTACAGATTATAAATAATACTAAGAAAATGATTACGAATGTTATTGTAAAGTTAAATTTTTGTATTAGTTGAAAGAATTTATTTAGCATAACATCACGCTTTTTATCCCTGCCAAAGGGGTAAACAGAGGTGCACTGTAAGTAAGTACAATGTAACACCCACTTTACACTATTTATGTTATGAGTTCCATGTAATAGGGGGTGAGCTTATTGCCACATACCGGTCACAATTCTATACTCCATGCTACTTATTTTAAACAACCCCAGCAACACTTTTGCCGACCCGGGAATCGAACACGAAAGCCCTTGCCCGGCAGTCGCACTTGCAACCACTCGGCCATCGAAGCAGTCTTAATTTATTGACAAATTAATCCAGTTATTGAACATTCCTTAAAGGTTTTGCTATAAAACAATTAACTTACATCTAGGTTTCATACCTAATATCTAGTAACTTACTAATCTATTACCGAAAGGCGAAAATATTACATTTTAATATTTAAATTTGTTTTAGCTTTACATATGAGAGTATTATTATTTAGAATATACTACACCAGCATCAAAACATTGCAAAACTATGAGCCTCCATTGCATAAGATGGTGTGTTATAATCTCCACGCTTTGTGTAGTAGTTTTTTTATGGAATAAGTCGGGAAATGAGCGGACGGATCATCTGATGTAAAGCAATCAACGTCGCCCATGGACACCTGAAACACCAGAGGCGTTACAAGTGCGTCAATGGCCTTTTGGGGATTAGGAATTCGAGAACAGGGTAGTTTCCTAAATTTTATTTCAATGTCCGTCCGGTACATTAATTTAAAACTTTAGACACGTATTTTTTCTTTTCTCACAAAATTAAATACTTTCGACGATACATTAATTTGAAATATCGTGTGACGTCACAGCGTGCCACATTTTGTAGCACGTTATGACGTAACGACCCACTCTTTAATTTAGCGCCATTTTATCTAAATACTGCAACTTAATACAAGAAAATAAAAAAAATATATATAGGTACTAGATTTTTAATTTTGTTACCCTGGAAACTACTCAATTGTTGGGGTTTCGGGGATTTGAGAGATACAACGCAAGCGTTGTTTCACGACGGTTTTCTGTGAGGCCGTGGTATCACTCCGGTTGAGCCGGCCCATTCGTGCCGAAGTATGACTCTCAAACACAGTTTAGAGTCTTTATGTTTCTATCCGCTTTCTGCCATATATTTATATTAAAAGGAAGAATACTCAACAAACAAAATCACTCATACATCCATACTAAAAATATCTAAAACAGTAACACACAAAGTAAAAACCATTAAAAAACTAAAGAATTTCTTAAGAATTACGAGATTCATTAGCAAAAAGGTTTATCGTAAATCGAAACAATCATGTGTGCCGAAAATGCTATGCGCATTGAAGTTTTTAAAAAACGAACGCGTCCCTCTATGGTCACATTATACTAAAAAAAAATAAAAACAAATTGAAAAAATGTACGGTCAAGCGCGATGTTGTTGTGTGTTGACAGTTCCGTAAGGAAAATGTGGTTTTCGTAAATTAACTAGTTATTTAGTTTTATAAAAAAGTTTGTAAAATAAATTCTGTATTTCTTATATTTATTTGTATAGGTACTGTTTGGTTTTCAATTATTTTACATTTCACTAACTAAAGTTCTATGAAGTTACTAATAAGAGTTTCTATTTTGGTTAAATACAAAATTAATTCTACAATTAACCGACACAAATTAACTAACAAAACACAATAAAACATTCTCTACTACAAACACCGGAACCATTCACAGTCCGTTTTTTACTTCGCCCCGCGGAACTCTAAAAATCGAACTGTCAAAATGGTTCGCAGTAAATTTTGCCGCGGCCGCCGCTGATTGGTCAAGTGTCGAGTGGGCGTGGTCAACAATTGAAATACAGGTCTGTTTATTTATGAAGAGAAGTTGAATTGTTTTTGCTATAAAGAGGGGAAGGAGGGAGTTACAAATAGCAAGGAATTCTACTTTAAAATATTTAAATAACGTATAAATAGCACCCACTAAAACTATAAAAAGTTACAGCACGCTACAAGCATTTAAATAATGTATGTAATCGAATCATTTCTTTCTTTTCGAATTGTTTTTCGATTTTTCGATTTTAGAACACGGTTTTCGATGGTTGGCTTTTATTTCGATTAATACTTTACTATCTCGTATGCTTTCTTTATACTATTTCGCTGCGGACTTTCCCAGACGTAGGTGTTTTTGTAAATACTAATACATACTTTAATATGGAATGAGAATTCCGGTGTGACTTGCGATAACGAGTTTTTTAGATAATAGATACCTTAAATATATTATTTATAGTTATCATCTTTTGTACATCACCAACTGCCTATAAATGCATTAATCAACACGCGAGCATTAATCACTACGCGTGCTCACTACGGGTCGGCGATTACAAACATATAATTATAAATTATAAGCCCAGGTTTCCTCACGATGTTTTCCTTCACCGTTTGTCAGAGGTATCTAAATAATCTTAGTAATAACATATAACTTGGAAAATGTCACATTGGTACTTGCCATTGGTAGGTTTCGAACCCACAACCTTATGCATGAGAAGTGGGCGTCTTAAACCTCCGGGCCACCTCGACATCTTCTGTACATATTAAGACCTTGAACGCCATGGGGGACAAGGTATGGGCCACGCTAGCGGAGGATTTACCTTCATGTTCAGGAACAGTTTTCTGACGGCAGTCAAAGCCTTGAATTAACCACAAAAACTTACCAGGCTCATCAACTTTGTAGGACACATCACAGGATCCATCTTTCCTGTCCTTGAAGTCGATCTCAGCCTTGCTGGGACCTTCCAGGGAGATGGCAAGCTGACCAGCGCCAGCTTCACGAGTCCAGACGTTGAATTCGTTGAAGCGTCCAGCTTCTCCTCTCTCCAAACCTGGACCACCAGCCTTGACCAAATGGGCTCCGGAATCCCTGAGGGGACCTACCGTGAACTGGAAGGGTGACCCTGAAATTAAAGTGGGTATTGTTAGATGCACCTTTATTACTGGAAATCTTTATATTTCCTGGATTTTTAGGATATACTCTTATATCCTTGTCTTATGATCCAAGTCCTAAATCTTATTTTATCAGAATTACCAAAAAAGCTTAAAATAATTTAGAGATATTGACAATAAAACAATTACGTTGTTTGCACTGATATGTATAAAGTGAAACAAAGATATGGTTAAGAGACTGATAGATACTTTTTATATTTGATGGGCCGACGTTAACAATATCGCTTGGTGGCAAATTGAAGATGTGGCCTACGATGGAGATCGTCGACCCATAAGCAACCTATTAACTCGGGCCTTGAAGACTGTCAAGTTATACTCTTCAGGATATAAACTTCGGTTGTATTATTCTATAATATCCAAAAGTACTTCGTAAAGTAAATAGTTTTTATGGAGCAAAACTGATCATCATTATGAGGGCAATTCTAGAATTCGCGGCATTACAAATAATTTTGAGAAAATCATATTATGAGTAAATATAAAAATTAATACCTTTATCCCTTGGTCATGGCATCACGCGTCAATAGCTGGACCGATTTCACTAATTCCTTTTTTGTAGTATTTATTATTAATTGGAGAATATTCTCAAGACAGAAAAAATCCTGAAAATCCTACGGGAACGGGAGAAAACGGGATTACGCGTACGAAGTCGCGGGCAGAAGCTAGAGAATAATAAAAAACCAAAACAATCTTAGTTATCCTCAAACTCCTAATCCCCAAAAAGCCGGTAACGCACTTGTAACGCCTCTGGTGTTCCAGGTGTCCATGGGCGACGCCGATTGCTTACCATCAGGTGATCCGTCTGCTCGTTTACCGGCTTATGCCATAAAAAAAAAGTTAGACTTTTCTTGTATCGAAAATGTTGCTGCTTACCAGGAATATGAATTTCCCTGTACTTGACAGATACTGTGTGGACTCCCAACTCCTTAGGAACGAAGTGGACGGAGTAAAGGCCATCTTCCACCTCCTGGATCTCAGCGTCTTCGGAGACACCACCAGGACTAGTGACGGTGGCAGCCAGGTCGAAGGAGGTAATGCCTGTTGGGTAATTAAAACAATAATGAATTTAACATAACATACCATCACGCCTATATCCCAGGTAGGCAGAGGTGCACATTACGGCACTTAATGCCACTATACAATGTAACAACCACTTTTCACTATTTATGTTACGAGTCCCATGTAATAGTGGGTGAGCCTATTGCCATATACCGGGCACATTTCCAAACTTTGTGCTACTACTGAGATTTTTAAAAACCCAGTAATACTTTGCCCGACCTGGGAATCGAACCCGAGATCCCTTGCCCAGCAGTCGTACTTGGGACCTCTCGGCCAATGAGGCAGTCTATAAAGAAATAATGAGTTTGTAATTATTATTTAAATATAGAGGTACTATATTTTGCCGCCATGTCCATAAAAATCTTGATTTCGTCATTTGCCTTTGAACTTTTTCATTTCAATTCTTATCATCAGAAAATCCATCACTCGATTTTATAATTTCCCTCGTATTTCCATTTCAGAAAACCGTAGCGAACAAAAAACCGGCTCTGGATTACGTATGCGTCAATAATGAATGAACGCTGAAATTGAGTGCTTAGTACCTATTGTATCTTCTTATGACTACGAACATCGACCATGTATTTTGTAAGTTGCAAGTGTCAGCAATAGATCTTATTTAAACATGTGGGACGTATAACAATGTCTAGCAATAAGTTTGGACAATCCACCTTGAGCAAGCGCAGTGATTAATGCTCATTCCTTCTCTATGTTTTAGAAGAAGCTATTGTTCAGCATTTATGTCGTATGACTTTGACCTTACCTGGCATTTTGAAGGTCAGCTTGCAGTTGGTGCCGACCTCCGTGAGAGGAGCAGGGTCCCTCTGCCTCTGAATCTTCTCTCTTTGCCTGTTGCTGCCCTCACCGGTAACCTGAGCAAAACAGAATACAATAAGCACACTAAGGGCAGACTGCTTTAGCCAGTTCATATCAACATACAACTCATAATCTTTTATAATCTTGGCATATCGGATCCAAGATCTGGTCAATTTTAATCAAGCAAGGAGATATTCAAGGGAGCAAGAAATTTTACTGCTTAAAAGCAGTTTGCAGTTTGGCAGTAGCCACTCAACCAAGGCAACTGTAGGTCATAAAATGGTCGTCTGACTGCACGGTTGGTGCGGTGGCCGGACAACCGGCTGCCGTGCAACGTGTCGCGGGTTCGATTCCCGCACGGAACAACACTTTGTGTGATCCACAAATTGTTGTTTCGGGTCTGGGTGTCATTGTGTATGTGAACTTGTCTGTTTGTAAACGCACCCACGATACAGGAGAAAATCCTAATGTGGGGCAGCGTTTTAATTTAAGAATTATTAAAAATAAATCTTGTTCTTGGGGTAAGAATCAGCTAAAAAATGTTGTAGACTAACCTTAACGGTGAAGGGAGAACCCTCAACGTGATGGTCAGCGAATTTCAGGTTGACGATGTAGTATCCTGGTTCAGTGGGTTTGTAGCTGATAGCCAACACGCCATCCTTGCTGTCAGCGCACTGGATCTCAGCCTTACTAGGACCTGGACGACAAGAGAAAAACGTGATAATATGCCTTTATATAGGAGTTGCAGGAGTCTTTAGTGTATGATCGGGAACTCGTACTCAACGGTCAAGAAGATCTACTGAATAATCTTATCCGATGTAAAGTTTTATGAAGCATTTTGCTTCAAAAAGCATCTGAAAAATTGGATATTGTTTCACCATCTCATTTAAACTGTCAAACACCGCGAGGACACCGGTGACCGCAACCTATTGGTCTTTAATTGTGTCTATAATGACGGTACTCAAAGACCTTACCTTCACCTTTTAATTTTACTCTGATTTTGTATTTAAGTTTAATTTGATTTACTATAAGTAAAAAACATGGTGGACGATTCTTATAATTCCTTACCTTCGATGGAAAGTGAGAGACCACCGTAACCAGCGTTCCTGGTGTCCACACTGAAGGTGTTCTCGGCGTGAGTCTTGCCTTCCTTCAGGGCGTTGCCAGAAACCTGTGGAAGAACCATCATGAGTACGGCAGAACACATTAACGTCTTCGGGATAAACAATAGAACTGCAATTAATTCTGGCGTCTGGTTGATGACCAAAAGTACTTTCTGTCAATCTATTATCACAATATTTATGCGCTATACCTCAAGCATATTACACATAACCTTTAATATTATTTAATTCCCTTAGTAACCCCTTTGACAACGTCTACTAAAATCTAATTTAACGACCGAATACTGAAAGGCTACTAAATTTTAAGTTGTACTTAAATATCGTGCCATCTCTGTCACTTAACAAAGAATTTGTAGTGATAGAACTATACTTAGAAAGAGCGACCTAATACTCAGTGGCGTTTGAGTATTTGTACATTCATCCCCAAAAACAAATCACCAACCTTGACTTTCTTTGCGTCACCAACTTCCTGAGCCAGTACGGTGATGTTGAACGGTGAGTTCTGGATGTGGACACCCATCTTTTTCACGGAGACGATATGCTGACCAGCTTCGCGAGGAGTGAAGCTGATGCCAATGTTGCCAGAGGGAAGACGCTTGAGGAAGCAGGGCTCTTCTAAGCCGGATGGTGCCTGGAGAAGTGAAAATTTATCTTAATTTTACAGTACAATAAAAGATTCTGCCAGCTGTTCTGGCATACCAAAGTACTACTAATAATACCTTTGTGTGAAAAATATTGAATTATAATGAACTAGCTTTTACATGGATAGAAAGTAGCCTATGTGACTATCCATCCCTTCAAACACCTTAAGTTAAAAAATCACGTTTATTAGTGCCTCCGTTCTGCCGTTTAAGACAGGCAAACAAACAGATAGCTTTCCGCTCGCGTGGAATTCGGTTATATCGCGCTACTTAGATTTTTTCAATTAGTAGGTAATCCGTTGATTGGTTTTGAATGACATACAGCGCCATCTATATCAATATTTTTGTTTTCTCTCGGAAATATTAAATTTTTTCGGGATAAAAGTGCCCTGTTGTTTAATCCAGACTTATAACTTTATTTCTGAAAAATTTCAAAGCAATCGGTTTAGTAGGTAGTTACGGCGTGAAAGTGGAAAAACAAACAAACTCACTTTCCGATTTATAATATAAGTAAGGATTTTTTTGTTTCTCATTCCAAGTATTACATCGATCTTTAACCCTTACTATAGATCTCAATAAATAATCGTCCGTCTTTGTCACAAGAAGTCCTAACCTGGATGGAAGCATTGAGGGTGCGGATGTCATTGTCGTTGATCTTGCCAGGGAGAGTGACTTCACTGCAGCTGCCTACAGAGATCTGGTTCCTCTTGCGACCCTCACCAGTGACCTGAAAGAAGGAGAAGAAAATAATGTAGATTGAAAAGCACAAACCACATAGGAACCTCTCAAAGTAGAAAAAGATACTAATAGAACTTCTGGTTGAAGCATCAGTTTTAAGAGGAGTGACATTGTTGTTACAATTATAATAATAGCCATTTTCATCAGCCACCCCTAAACCACCTCTTTACTAAGAGTTACTTAGCTTGGACACCTAAACTAACTTCTTACCTTTATGTGTCATGTGTATAGGCTGGTGAAAATAAAATATCGTTAAGTGTTACTTACTTAAAAATTTAGAAAAGTTGTTGAAAATGGGCATAAGTCTTCTTAAATATTAAGCTTTGATATAATACCTTAGCGGTGTAAGGAGATCCCTTGATGTGTTTGTCTCCGAACCTGACGGAGATCTTGTACTCTCCAGGAGCGGTGGGCAAGTACGACACGGAGACTGTTCCGTCTTTGTTGTCATGGCATGTGATCTGAAAGAAGACCATAGGAACCATATGTTAGTTATGATACAAAATGTAAAAATGAGGCACAAGATCTATAATAAAGAATCAGCATCAGCAATGTCAACTGTAGATGTGATTTGAGATTTTTTTTTTCATAAATAGAATACAACACACTTAATACCTATATAAAAAATGATCACTTAAAATTGAAAGCGAAACGATCAGCATGGGGGCGGTACATCGAAAATTTTCTACTAATTATATTTACAATGGGGGTATCACTAAAATTATTACAAAAATAACTCAAGACTTAGAAATTGGGATGATGACAGGGTATGAAAATTAAAAATCGAATTAGTCCATAACTTAGGTAATCAAAAAAAATTAGACACGTATTTTTTATTTTACTCAAAATACTCAATTTATGTTTTGTTTTTATTAATAAATTTTGTAGTATAATAAAACAATACTTAGATACCTACAACGAATCAAAGTTTAAGAGTGGGGGCTAAAACGTCATTTCTACGTATAAAAAGTAACATAGAAGTGACGTCACGCGACATTTCAAATCAATATATCGTCGAAAGTATTCGTTAAATACGTGACATTAAAATAAAAATTAGGCATCTACCCTATTGAGCATGCAAGGAGTACGTATTATAATTTTAACTGTGCTAAATAGGTATCTACGACGTCTACTCTTTTACAGAAGAAATGGGATATCTACAGCGCACTTAAATAAGTTTATAGAAGGTATGTGGCAGTCGTTTTATGTAATAAAATGCTTATAGAATCAGTGCCAACCCTAATTCTGGACCAAAAATAAGCAAAAAAAAAAATACTTCAATAAGATGTTCTCTCAACCAGTTTCAATGTTTAATGAACTTCGTTATCTATCTGAACAAATTCTAATATGGTTCTCATGAAGTATATTCAAAAGACCTTGACCTTTCTCTGGATGTGTCTTTCTGCCATCCCACCGGCTCAAAAAGTGAGGGAACAGAGAGTGAACTAGTACTCGCGCACACACTTATGCACTATAATATCTTCTGCGTTGTGGGCTAGCCTAGTTAGACAGGCTGACTACCATAATCGAAACCAGTCAGGACATTTATATTATACTAGCTTTTACCCGCGGCTTCGCTCGCATTACAAAAAGATAAAAAGTAGCCTATGTGACATATACACACAGCGCCATCTATACCAATGATTTCGTTTTTCCTCGAGAATATCGATTTTTTCCGGGATAAAAAGTACCCTATTATTTAATCCAGACCTCTAACTTTACGTCTGCAAAAATTCAAAGCAATCGGTTTAGTAATTACGGCGTGAAAGCGGAACAAACAAACAAACTCACTTTGCGATTTATAATATTAGTAAGGGTTCAAAAAACCTTACCTCAGCTTTGCTAGGTCCCTCCACAGCCATGGACAGTCCACCGGAGCCTGCTCCCTTGGTGCTGATGGTGAACTCGCTAGGCTCTCCACTCACACCGTTCAGGAGACCAGGACCATAAGCCGTCACATATCCTGACGATATGGAGTCCACGTGGAACTTGTATGGTGAACCTAGAAATTGATAATTTTGGAATTATGAATCCGTCATGACTTGGTCATATTGAAGGGATAAATGTTAGGAGATTTATGAGACAGGTGTACCTAACGAGAGTCCTTGCTGGGGAAGTCGGTAGAGGGTGACCTAGATGGACATATAGAGACCAAATAGGTGATTTATGGAATAAAAGTCAAATTAGGAACATCCTCAATCGACGAGCATGCTTGAAGAGATTGGCGAATGTAGATGAAGCGAAAGAGGTATCCCAGAATCGTGTCATTTGGTGTTCAATTGTCTCTGCCTACCCTAATAGGAGACAGGCATAATGGTGTGTATGTATGTGTATAAATCCATTCATGAAACTAACAGTCCTTTATAAATGGGGTAAGAGAAACACCGGTATGCTGTCTTAAGTGATTTCGATTTCAATAATGTGATGAATAAAATTATTGAATTTGTGGTATAGTTAATTTTAATTTATAAACAAGATGGCACAGAGATAGCCTTTGCACTATTATTCTCATATTGTATTTGGGAAAAACATCAAGAAAAGGTATTAATCAAGATGAAAGGAGTGACTGAGAGGATATGAAAAATTTCTTTCAAGTTTACTACACTATTTGGCTAATATACGTCATAATCATTACACAAATAGATTTTACTATAAACCGAAGGTTTTCTGCAGCTCATTCCAACCCTTAATTCTTTCGCGGCTCAGAGCCCATTCTAGCCCTGAATGACTTACCTTGAACATGTTCACCATTGTACTTGACGAAGAGTTCGTGAACTCCTTCCTCTCGCGGCTCATACTTGATGCTGACTGTTCCATCTCTGTTGTCCTCGATCTGAGGCTGGTCTATGTGGCCGGACGGCATCCTGACTTCGGCTGCAAGAAGAAAAAGATTGATGGTTAATTTATGCTTGCTTAGAAGCAATTTGTTTTAATTGAAATTGAACCACATAGCGCTAGTTCCAAAGTTTAAATTACTGTGATAATAAACGGATAAAAAACTCCTAAGTAATCCTTGTCTACCCATCTTTTGTTGTTTTTAGTTTATGTTTTATGATAGAAACATTAATAGACAAATTTTTGAATTTAACTTTAAAATATGATATTTATAAACCAAATTAGATTTTCACTACAAAAACAATGTATCATACTTTAGACTCAAAAGTATGATAGATTGATTTAGATATCAAAAGTTTTGAGACATTGCGTGTACGCAGACGATCTCATTAGCAGTTTTTAATACCCGTCTTCTTCTATAAACAAGGGTCTTAAATAATACCTTGATGCCAAGGTTGAAACAGTTGACAAGAATCAAAATATCTGTACCCACGGACAAACTAATAAAATATATTTATGAATATCAAAAATAATATGTTTAGTTATAAAAAATATTCGTGTCACGACCTTCAGTGGAGGAATGTTAACCTTATGATCTGCGGGATAGCTGAGTGAGATTTACATAAAGAACTCTGTAGTTTTTTAATCACTGGGTATAATAAGTTGTTCATTACGATTGTCATTCGTACTATAATTATAATGAATGACTTCATAAGGGCAGAAGACACTGTAACATAGACTTGAGAGCAGAGAAACGGAACCACTAGATTTTTAACTAAATATCGCGGGTTACTCACGTGAGTATATTGAGAAAAGCTCTACTAGTTTCGAACCACAGAAGGCGCGGCGATGTCGCGCAGCCTACTGAGCTTTTCTCAGTATATTCACGTGAGTAACCCGCGATTTTTAGTTAATTTAGTATGTCTCACGATAGTTATTATAAAGACACTAGATTTTTGTTCATTTTATCGAATAATTTATAACTTAAAAAAAATATTAATTTTGTTCTAAGAACAGAGTGCTCTCATTTTAAAGGTAAACAAATAGCCTTTTGTACGACATACATTACCAATAAAAAAATAATTTGTATCATAAAGTATTTAAGAAATGAAAATGAAAAAATGCTAGTGGCTTCGCTTTTTTGCTATAAAGTGTATTGTATAGATCTGGAAATACTGGAACACTGGTTTCCACCCCAATAACTGGTTTCCACCAGTTATTGGGAAAATTATTATTAAATTTAGTTCTTAAAATATAATAACACAAAATATCCAGCAGGATTTGAAACTACAAACAGTAATTTCGTGCTCATTTCCAGCAGACAGTAACGCTCGCTTCCACCAACCTCTCTTCAATAGGGTAGATGACTAATTTTTATTTTAATGTCCGTGTCATAGATTATTTAAAAACATTACACACGTATTTTTTATTTTCTTACCGAAACAAATAATTTCGACAATATATTGATTTGAAATATCGCATGACGTCACTTTTAAGTACGATTTATACTCTAACATGACGTAGCTACCTCCCACTCCTAAACTTTGATTCGTTATATCTAAGTATCATTTTATTATACGGCAAAATAAAAAATACGTGTCTAATATTTTTTCATTACCTAACTGACGGACTAATTACATTTTTAATTTTCATACCTTGTCATCATCCCCATTGTAAGCAACCCCTAAACTAAGATAGTTGACAGTTAAAGACATTTTGGTTTTCACCAATCTATAGGTGATATCTAACAGTAAAGGTTCAATTCAGGTACTGTCTAACTAAGTAACTGTTTGTTACAAACGGTCATTAGTAAAAGAACGCGACAAAAATGGTCCTATAACATATACCCTATAAAAAAACACAGTAAAAAAATTGGGTGTTTAAAAAAAACAAATACAAAGATACAAACCTCGTCTCGTGTCAATGTGGTAAACACTAATAAAATTGAGCGGTGTGAAATGGTAGCCGAATCCGTGTCTATTGAATGCAATCTTATGACATTCGCCAAACACAATAGGCTGGGCCTCTTTGTCAACTTCTGATACAGAAAAGTATTTTCTACTACCGTCAAAGTAAAATCTTGATAGTTCACTCCAGGTTCTTTCTTCTTTATCGTTGTTACCAACGAGTGAATTCCAGAGATCACTTACAAACGCCATTTAAGTAAAAATAGGTGTCTTCTATCACAAAAATAGTACCTATTAATATTGTTTAGTGTTTATGTCAAAGTGTCATTGTTTTGTACTGTATTCTGTTTGTGTTTTTGGTCCCTGCTTTTGGAATAAAAAGATATGAATTCTGTTTTCGTTCGGTACTACGAAATTAAGGCGTTTTGTATGTCTAGTGGTTTAAACCTTCTTCGTACGAGAAGAGGTGTTTGGTCAGCAGTGACCACTTATAAGCTGTGGATGTGTGATGATGAAGTAAATACGAATGTTTAATTTTTACGTCATTTACAGAGGAATTCTTACATTATGTAGTGAAGCGAAAAGTATTGTGTTTACGATTTAAAATGGACGTCATTTTATTTCTTTAGGAAGGCCTATACTTTTACTCAACACTGGTGCTTTGTGCACTATCTTAGAGGTAAATTTATTTAATTTATAAATAGGGAATATTTTTTAATAAACCTCGACGTATAATATAAGGACCTGAGGCCTTAGTTCGAGATTGTTCTATATTTAAAGTAATCGAAACGAGACCGTGTCCGGCGCTCTGATTGGTCGGCTCCAAAGAACCAACCAATCACAGCGCAATACGTTAACGAATGCGCAATATGCCTTATAATTAAGAATAATAGTACATCAGCCCATTTTTAATGATCTTGTCTAATACGTAGTTGACAGGTAGTCAAATTCAATACTTTTATTGAAATGTCAAAAACGATACTTTTCTGTGAATTTTGTATTGGATCGCAACTTATGACGTCATCATATTTCTGTGTCAAATAGCATACTTAGATATTTCCATAAAATTAGCGAGAAAAAATCCAAAAGTAGGTAAATTTTCAATTCAATGGATGAGAGTGTGATTATTATTTAATTATTTATTGCATTGAAAAGTTGATACAATTTATTTTAAACCTAGGAAACTAGCTAATTTCAAAATTGGAACTTAATACTGAACAAAATCTAGTTTTTCTACACCTTTATATAGGTAATACTTGATATCTAACAATATGAACCAGTACAAATATACATAGACGTTTGACTCATGCGAAATATTTTTAAAAGAACTAGATTTTTTAACGTAAGTACACAATAATATAATGATTCATTACTTCGTCAATTTTCTACAGCTGTTCTCCAGATAAATTTTCGAAAAGTTTTTGTAGATCCAGTTCTTTAAGTATGTACGAATAAAATTAAATGTATGGAATCTGATTCGTCATAACCTACGTAGGCAGATATTTCAGAACTGTAACATGTTATAATAAAAAAAACTAACGTCAAAACATTGAAGATAAATGATTTTAAAACGTAACTATGTTATAATAAGATTCTATATTGTTAAAATAAAACTATTTCATTGAATAATAAGAATAGGAAATGAAATTTAAGCTTTTGTTTTATTCTTTTATTGCCTTATTTCATATATTTTATTGCATAATTCTTTTATTATTTTATATTTACAAATTTTGAGGTTATTTTTGCGTCATACACTGAAAATGTATGTTGTCTGAACATCATACACAACTGAACGGAGAATTTTAATGTCTGTCTGTCTAACCTACATATTTACTAGTGTCGCAGTTATTTTAATATATAATAATTTATTTCCGGGCTTGGAAAAAAACGCTTTGAAGTGGAAAACCGGGTGTTTGTGCTGCTTCATTTACGTGAGGCCTAATTTATCTTCAGACTAGACAGCTCGTATGATATTATTTTAGAAAATTTTTATTGACTACTTCTACAAAACATCAATTTGTATGGAATATCCGGGGACACGAGATCCTTTGGGTATTATAAAACACACTGTTTATAAATTTAACATCGCAACGCATCATAAAAATAGTTGGCAACCCTTGTCGTGTTTTATATTAAAAAAAAACCCGGACGTCTTGCGTCATATAGAAATGTTTATGACCTCTGCCCGATGACAATTTCATCGGTGGCCAGATGTCGTCAACCGTTTAACACTATTATATTTTTATATATGGCCGATAAAATTATTTATTTAATCGTCGCTACACGATTTTTAGATATAAGGGCGTTATTAATAGTTTCCAAATACAAGATATTAACACATAATTTTCAATGATTTTTATGTCGTATTTATAGCCGACCTGTAATCTAGTGTCGTAAAATTTCGTAAAAATCTTTTTGACTACAACTTAATATGAAGTTAAATACGGTAGTAATAAATACGTTTATTATTGCATCAACGAGTAAAAGACGCAGATTTTTATTCGCAAAAATAAAGTTATGTTTTTTTTTTTCAAAGGTTGATACTACTTAGCAGAGATTTATGCCAATTCTTCAGTAGCATATTAAATATTGTCAGTAACAATAATGGTCCCCATTTCCCTGCTTGACTTTTACGATGCAGCCCGACGAACGGGCACAGATTAAAAATGTATATTTTACGCATAAATTTCGTTGACGGATAAAAATAATAACATAAATATTATTTATTTTTAACAAGCCAGCTGTTGACTGTTGTCGTTTTTATTTAATAAACAAAATTTCATATTTTTGTCTTATCTAGGTGCTGTTTACAGTTTAGAATGACTATTTTCAAGGCTTACTAGTTAATATATATTTTGCACATATATTGACAATAATAAAGTTACTTAGAATATACCAAATCACATAGGTACCTACTTTGCACCAGGAATGTTAACAATTTATTCATAAACTAAAAAAAAAACTTCAACGCCCTCTTTTTTGAAGTCGGTTAATTAATATACTAAAACCTTTTCCTAAGTATAAAAAACACTTTTCTGAAAACCGCTTCGAAGTCGGTTCAGCCAATCGGCTCAATTAGACGTCCACCTATTTTTAAAGTCGGTTAAAAACCTCATTCCAACAAAAAAATCAATATTAATGTAATTATATTGACTTTTGAAGACTGAATGATGTTAATTGAAGACTGTTATATTACTGGGATTCAAAATATTGAAAAAAATAACTTGTCCAATGAAAATATTAGTTTAATTTTGAAATTTTGTGTCAATTTTGGCCATGGTCTCCCCTTCTGTTACAAGGATCAACATAATTAGGCAAAAATTTTAATGATACTAACATAATTATGAACAACTAGCTACTTCCGCGCGGTTTCACTCGCTCTAATCGGCGCCTAATAATCGTAGCGTGATATTTTATAGCCTTCCTCGATAAATGGGCTATCCAACACAGAAACAATTTTTCAAATCGGACCAGGAGTTTCGGAGATTAACGCGTTCTAACAAACAAACAAAAAACAAACTCTTCAGCTTTATAATATTAGTATAGATTTGAGAAGAAAACGGTGCTACGTATTTATTGAAAAACATATATTAACTTTGACGTCCCTCTGATATCTACATTACATTATTACGTAGTATATCAAATACATTATTTTTAATGTTTTCCTGTCCAACAAAATAGTCGTTTGCATGAATTTCTTGGCAAATGTGTTCCCAATAAATTACCATTATAAATATTATCGATGTGTCAGTCAACACGTCCAAATGTTGACAACCTCCGCTTCTAATTATATCAAATATTGATTTCGATGAAAATATTATTCAAGTAGCTTTTACTAGAAACTGCTAGCATAGATTGAAATATTTTTTAAATTGAGAAACTGGAAAATTATTAATACAGGTCATGGATCATTTCTATGCCAATTCCATTCCAACATTTAGATTCATTATAGGTTAAAAAAGTACAAAAATAATAAAAGAGGTTAAACTTAAAATTAAAAAAAAATATATCAACTAGACTACATACAGGCTCTTTTGAACAATCGAAATAGAATAGTCTGTCAGTCTATCTGTGAATAAAAATATCTAATCGAAATAAAATATGTTAATCTAAAATCCGTGAATCGATCTAAATTTTGACTTGTAATCTTTGATCTAAATTTTGACTGCACGGTTGGTGCGGTGGCTGGGCAACCGGCTGCCGTGCAACGTGTCGCGGGTTCGATTCCCGCACGGGACAACACTTTGTGTGATCCACAAATTGTTGTTTCGGGTCTGGGTGTCATTGTGTATGTGAACTTGTATGTTTGTAAACGCACCCACGACATAGGAGAAAATCCTAGTGTGGGGCAACGTAAAAAAAAAAAAAATCTCAAAAATTGATCTTTATCCAAAAATTTTGAATATATTAAATATCAGGTATTCGTTTCGTCTGTTAGAAAATCTATGTTTTAAAATAGTGGTTTTAGATAGTAGGTAGGTATATACTTTTACATACCAAAACGAGACATCTGTTAGCTACATCTATCAATACATCCAGAAATATTAAAAACATGCTTAAAAATATCTGCTGCAGAGAACTTAACGGGTTGCCGGGGCTCCGGCTCGAATGGCAGGAGTAGGAACGAGGTGGTTTCTAGTCAGTAAGAGTCTGACACTCCCTCCCGCCTCACCCAGGCGGGAGAAAGCATTTGACGACTTTCCCCCCTATCTATGGCTACATCCTATTATAGAAGATGTAAACCAGACTTTGTGTCCACAACACAAAGGTTAACATTACTATCTGCACAAAAATGTAGGTCCCTACCAACGTACAAATTTTTCTACTTTATTTCGTCAAAAAATTGTGATTCATCCATATAATTACTTAGCTATGTAACGGCGAAAAGATGTATTATTTTGAATATATATTTCTTCACAAATAATTCATTTTTTCCGAAAACGGTACAGTTTTGCGTCCCAGAGTTCATTTCGTGGACAGCGGGACTCGTAATTACAAAAAGAGCCAGTCCTGTTCAAAACGGGACGTCTGGTCACATTATACTAAAATTCCAACATCTCATAAATGTTTAAATCTTCACACCTACTATAACTTCTGTCACTCATCAGTTCGGATAAAGTGTATTTTAAAACGTCTACATTATGTATATATAATATATTATGTATTTCAAATACATGTATGTTATTTTAAATCACTGCTTTCGAATCAGCATTCCTCGTATGTATATCATAATTTGACGTAACGTAGGTAGTTTTAAGAAAATCTTATTCCTTACTTTTTTTTATAGCTCAAAGTTTGTTTGTATGTTTGTTTGTTTGTTTGACCGCGCTTATCTCCGTAACTACAAGTCCGATTTGAATAATTCT